GAGTTTCCCGAGCGACGGAGGTGGTTAAGTGACGGTGGTGGCAGTGGATCATTGGCTGGAGCCAAGGATACGGTGGGTGCGTTTGTAGTCCCGGTCCCACCGTCCCATCCTCCTTACACACGCGATCATGACCCCCGCTCCGGTTGACACGACACTTATTACCTCTATATTACCCGAGGTCTCCTACCTGAGTTGCTGTGCTGGGGGAGGGGAGTTGCTGGTGCCTTGAGGGCAATCTTTTGGCCTGTCGTCCCCTTGTCCTGGGCCTCATCTACAAGGTCCCTCAAGGTATCGGCAGATGACGGTGATCTTTAGAAAAAGAGATTTAGTAGAAAAAGGGAGAGAGGGAGGGGAGTGGAAATTAGGAAAGAGAGGAGAAATCGTGGTGGATGTAAGTTGGCCGGGTGATGGGCTAATGTTGGATTGTGTTGATTAAAAAACCCGCCACCGCCACCACCACCACCACCACCCACTCGCTACCACCCGCCACCGTCACCCACCACCACCACCCACCCGCCATCACCCACCACCACGCGCTACCCACCACCCATCGTTACCACTTTCCACCACCGTCTTCCGCTGCCACTTGCCACCACTTGCCATTTCTCACTCTTTTTTATATTTTTAAATTTTTTTAAACATTTTGTCAATTACCAAACGCGTTTGTAGTTTATGTTTTTCTAAAAAAAACAAAAAATAAACAAAAACCGGTTTATAAAATTTTTGTAAATATAAACTGAAAATGTAAACGTTACCAGACACACAAGGGTTCGGGTGTTGATACCAGCTTGGCAGCAAAGTATGGTGCAACAAAAAAATGAGTTGACCCAGATTCAATGAGGACATGAGCTAAATGACCACAAATAGAAAGTGTACCTGACACAACGTTTTCGGTAACTTCTGGTTTTCCAGGTACCAAGGCAAAAGCCCTTTCATGGTGTTTTTGGTCCTTCCTCTCTCCTCCAAGTCTTGTGGGTTTTCTGATTGGGCCAGAGGGGCTGGCTGTAGGATTGGTTAGCTTTGGACAATCCCTCAGCAAGTGGCCAACTTGACCGTAGTTAAAGTACGCTCTCGTGTCTCGATGGCATTGTCCCTAATGAGCCTTCCCACAAGTAGGACAAGTTGGAATAGTGCCACCTCAGGGGTTGGTAGGAGCTTGATTGCCTGAATTGGTTGTGCCTGTATTCACCTTTTTGGGAGGCGCAACACCGGGTATTCCTGTTGTCTCTTTCCTAGAATCGTTTTTTTTTGGCTTGATTCCCCGGAACGCGAGGCTTTAATCCCTTTTTCTACAATGTACGCCTGGTCTACCACTTCCGCATAGGTTGGCAATTTCAAAACCTCAAGCCTATCTTTGATTTCAGCATCCAATCCTGCTTCAAATTTTCTTGCTTTTCGAGCTTCGATAGGAATGACATATGTCGTAAATCGAGCGAGTTGTGTAAACTTGTTCTCGTATTCAACCGCCGTCATGGTTCCTGACTTTAGATGTATGAATTCTGACGCCTTCTGTTCCTGCAACGAATTTGGGAAGTATTTGGCATAGAACACTTCCAAGAATCTTGCCCAAGTCACAATTTCTTTTTTCTCTAGGGTGAGAAGCCACCATTCTTATGCATTATCTTTAAAGGTGAAAGTGGCGAAAGTAACATTCTGTCTTTCAGTGTAGGGTAGGGTGCGAAAAATCTTTTCCATGTCTTTAACCCAAGCGTCTGCTACCATTGGGTCTAGGCCACCGATAAATGTAGTGGGTTTTGGATCTTGGAGCTGTTTTATGGTAACCGACTCTTCTCGTCGTTCTGACATCCCATTATTGATGTCAGTTTTTTGCAAGGCTTGCAAAAAGTTGGTGACTGCTCTTTCTATGATTCTTTCCATCAATTCAGTGCCACTGACTGATGACTCGCTTTCGTTACCATTATTGGCCATTCTACAAAGTAATAAACGAGGCATTACATCCATAACGCAACATATATATAAGCATATATAGCGCATTATGTATATATATATATATATAATACCAACTTTAATATTTTTACAATTAATATTACATTCTTGTCAAAAGTCAAAATATGTTAATGTCTCATCCCTGTGGTACAACAAAAAAAAAACAAAGAAATGGATTAGAACACATCATGGTTAGCGTACAAAAAAGGTTTTCTTCTACCAAATCTAGAGTAGTAGGTCAAACGGGTCAAACAACCACGGGAAGTAGTGTTGCATAAAAAGCTCAAATTCCCATCCTAATTGGACCACACCAAAACACATCCATGTTGCCTGGATTGTGAAAATGGGGGACAGACTGTATGTATCCCAAAAATGCTCGATCAACAATCCAGTCGGGCGTCTCTATATATGATAGGTCATTACTAAAATCAACATTTTGAATATTAATAATTTTCAACGGGTTAGGAACAATGGTAAAAATGTAGTCCTTGGGGTACACATTTTCCCTTCTTGCCACAAAATTTGGGGGCAAAGGGCCTGCGATGTAGTGCGGGCGGTCATATCCGGGGGCAATGTCGAGGACACGAGTGGGCCCAAGAAAGTGTTCGCGCATATAGGCATGGCTCTACCTCCATAGTAAGTATGGGACATCAGTAGGATCAGTTTATATATAGATTGGCCGACCCATCAATTGGGCAAGGCCTGGATGCAGTCTCCTAATTATATCCTCTGAGTCTCCCCATCCTTCAGGTGAGGCGGGGGCAGGGTGCTCTGCTAAAATATCATCCAAATTAGTGGCCCCGAGCTCCTCCCAAAATGCTTCACCAAGGTTAATCTCGGACATTCCTACATCACCAGAATAAACATGAGATTTTACATAAAAGAACTAACGTCGCAGGTAAATATTTATTATTTACTTTATTATGTGTATCTAGCTATATAGTTTTATTTATAACTTCTCGAACTTTCAGATCAAATTAAAATAGCTTTTTTTTTTTTTTTTTTTTTTTGAATGAACCATTGCTCTGATACTACCGTTGTCACGATCCAGCCCCAAGGGCTTAGGACTGGAATCGCAACTTACTAATTAATTCTAATCTTAATAAATTAAGTGGCGCATGCGGAGGCAAAATGGAAGTAAGAAAAATTAATCACAAAAATTAATTCCATTCTATTATTTTGATAAAAGGAAATACATCTATAGAGCTTTTATTTATTTATTTTTATTATGCAGTGACCAGCCCTCAGTAAAAAAAAAAAATAAAAGGAAGAAAAGGAAAAAAAAACAAAATAATGGATCAGCACCTGAAAGGGTCTTCCTTATATCTTGTCACCTGAAAGGGTCTTTCTTGTTCAGGTTTCACTACATGAGGTTACGGGACTTCCTTATATCTCGTCACCTGAAAGGGTAATAGCTATAAGCACACAGTAGAGTGAGAAATATTATGCCGAGAGTATAGGGAACACAAAATAACCATGGATAGTTAGTTAGGCTAAAATATTTACATAACTCAATTTGAATAAACAAATTATTCAAAGTGACAGAAACTGGAATACAGAAATTATGTAAATAAATAATCATAACCACGGTACAGAACAAAACAGAACAGAGGTCACAAGAGTGATGGTCAGAACAGAGGTCAATAGATCTATGACAAACAGAAGACCACAAAGTGGCCAAATAAAGGCCAATGATTTTTTAAGTTTCCCAAGGCGTAGGACTTCCGTGGTGATACTTACAAAACATAATTATTTATAAGGTCATAGTCAAATATTTTCTAAAATTTAAACAAACATATCCATGAGTTTCATTTTAAACAAATAGAGTTTAGAAATTAATCCACGTAATTGAAATATTAATATAATTTATAAAATATAGCTTGTATAAAATAAATTATGATAAGCCAAAACATACGTAAAATATATTATGGTGACTCAAGATATAATATAACTCACCTTAAGATTGAGTCTTACTAATTCCTTCCTATTTCCGTTAGTTTTCGACCCTTCCTTTGCTCTCTGTTTTTTTTTTTTTGTTGATTCTTTTTTTTTTTTTTCTTCTTCGTTTTTCCGTTTGTACTCACTCCACAGCACATTCCCTATTTTTATACACATAACTTTGGTGATGACTCATCCTATCTAATGGCCCTAAGGTGATGAATCACCTCCCCTCCCTAATCCTAGGTGGTCCAAATGGCTCTCACTCCTTCGTCTCAGCATATTTGCAATCTTTGTAATTAATGATACTTAATTTGCTTAATTATATCTATACATGCTAATCTTCTCACATTAATCAGTGATTAATTAACCTCCAAATAAATCTTTTCATCATATATTTGATAACCACAATGGCAAATTAATTTACACAGCGTGTATAGCTTATTTATTTTATTATTTTCATTATTTTTGTTATTATTATTATTATTAATCGTGGTTAGTTATGGTATTAATTAAATATTTACGGTGTCACATAAACAACTAGATTAGTCGAAAAATTATTTCATTTGGTTTGAGATTTTATTAGATATGTGGGTCTTTATGTGATTTATTGCAGGTTTGAGATTGCATCTATATTGAATTTTCATTTGAGAAGTTTGTAGGTTTGCAATTCTTCTTTTTGGGTTTAAATCCGGGTTTATTTTGTAGTGGGTGTGATTTGATAGTTTTTAGAGAGAGAAAAGAGGAAGAAGAAGGAAATAGAGAAGAAGAGATGGTGGGTTTAGTAGTTTTTATAGATAGAAGGGGTTGTTTGGGATGTTCTAGATAAATGTATTTTTTAATTTTTTATGAAATATGAATTGAGTTTAAAATGATATGGTATAGAGATAATATAATTTAAATAAGATAATGTGATTTAAATAAGATAGTGATTTTTTAATTTTTTTAATTATTTTAAAGAAAGCCAAACCTAACCTACGACGGAGATGGAGGAGACGGAGAAGAGGAGGTGGTGGGTTTGATTGAAAAACGAAAGTGACTGAAAAGCAATGTATTTAAAATAAATAAATAAATAAATAAAATCAAAACGACGTCGGAGGGCCGATCCGAACTCAATTTCTCTCATCCTCCCTCTGTCACTCTTTCTCTCTCTCTGGCTCTAGAAGTCGGAGAAGAAGAAAAGAAGGAGAAATTTCATGGGGGAGGACATGCCACCAAAGCCCACGATGATCGACCCACGCAATGGCTTTTGCTCAGAGACCAAGACCTTCCACAGCATGAGGCCAACCGTCTCTCTCCCTCCTCCAACCCAACCCCTCTCTCTCATCCACTACACACTCTCTCTTCTCTACCACTCCTCCACCCCCACCACCACCCCTTTCCTCATCCACTCCTCCACCGGTCTCCACCTCACCTACTCCGACTTCCTCCGCCAAACCAAATCCCTTTCCCTCTCTCTCCTCAATTCTCTCCCCTCTCTCTCTAATCAAAACCACGTCGCCTTCATCATCGCTCCTCCCTCTCTTCAAATCCCCGTTATCTACTTCTCTCTCCTCTCCCTAGGCGTCACTCTCTCTCCCGCCAACCCTCTCGCCTCCCAGTCCGAGATCACTCACATGATTGGTCTTTGCAAACCGGTCATCGCCTTCACTACCTCCTCAATCGCTCACAAACTCCCCTCTTTCCCACTCGGCACAATTCTAATCGATTCGCTCGACTTTCAAACTATGATGATGATGAACCCTACTACTGAAAACAATCACCAACCGAATCCAGAAATCAAAGTGGAGCAGTCAGATTCGGCGGCAATACTGTATTCGTCTGGTACGACGGGCCGAGTCAAGGGCGTTGAGTTGACTCACCGGAACTTCATTGCCTTGATTGCCGGATTCTACTATATCCGGCGAGAAACCGACGACGACAACGCTCCGCATCCGGTGTCTCTGTTCACGCTGCCGTTGTTCCATGTGTTTGGATTCTTCATGCTAATTAGGGCGGTTGCGTTGGGGGAGACTCTGGTTTTGATGGATAGATTCGATTTCGAGGGGATGTTGAGGGCGGTGGAGAAGTACAAGGTCACTTACATGCCGGTGTCACCGCCGCTGGTGGTGGCGCTGGCGAAATCGGAGCTGGTGGCGAAATACGATCTCAGCTCTCTTCAGTTGCTTGGATGCGGTGGTGCGCCGCTCGGGAAGGAGGTTTCCGAGAGGTTCCGGGATAGGTTCCCCAGAGTTGAGATAGTGCAGGTATATTAGGATAATGGCGTGAAGTCCAATTCTCTTTAAAAGCGCGTAGTATAAACTTTATTGTCTCCAACAAAAAGGTCATTATCTATGTTAATAGTTTATAAGCATGTGTCATTATTTATGTTAATAGTTGCAACAATGATTCATTCCATTAAAAACACCACCACTAATAGCACTAATGTATTAAAAAAATAAAAAAAATAAAAAAAAATTACAACTCTAAGACCAAAACATCACATCATTCATGACGGGACCTAATTAGTGAGAACACTAATTAGTGCTCCCAAACATTTTTCTAATTATTGCTGGGTTAGTTTCTTATACGTGACCATGTGAGTGAGGTGAGGGTATATTGTTAGGGACGGCAATTTGAACCCGACCTGGCGGGACCGGACTGCTCTATTCTGATAAGTTGGATTTTTCTCGAAAATTATTTCTTATAAGGCCGGAGCTGATATTGAAAAATAGATTCCGATGATTTTTGGGCTGAGGACGGGAATAGATTCCCTGGTCCCTCCATGTATATATATACACCTATTCAGTCACTCTAAGTCTTATGTGTTCTCAATGTAGGAGAAAATTAGATTGTTGGCATTTTTGGGGATCAGTATTCCAGTTTTTTTTTTTATTATTATTATTTTTTATTTTAAATTTTTAGCAATTGGAAGTCCGTGTCGTGTGGAGAGTACTGTTTGGTTGGGAGATTTAGAAAGGGATTGAAAAAGAAAAAGGGAAAAGGTAGGTGAAACATATATCTACATTTCACCTTGAAAGGAAAAAAGTGTGCAAAATTAGTTAAAATATAGATATGTTTTATTTACATTTTATCAACCTTTTCTATTTTCCTTTCCAAATCCCTCTTTAAATCCTCTAACCAAACACAGAATTAGGCTTTTTTTTGGCTTCTATTTTGAGTACTTCCTGTCTTTATATATCTTTTTTTCTTGTCTTTAAAGTTTTCTTTTGTTGCTGATTCCAAAAAAAAAGAAAAGGAAGTAGTTATTCTTCTATGATACTGCTGGACGGTAGGATGATTTTCACTTTGCCTATTAGAATTTTTACATAGTAGCTAGCCGCATAATGTTTTAACAACAATTTTACTGTTTGAGGCTTTCACTATTTGTTCACTAGTGTTAGTCTTTGTATTACACTGTACGTGATACTGAAAATTTATACAATTAATCAAAACTTGAACAATTGAATTGTTGAAATTCATGGCATAAGAACCAATTGTTATATTTTTGTGAACTTACATGATTGTAATACGGCTGGGACGTTCCTTTAACTGCATGTGATTCTGCTTTTGGCTGCTAATTTACTTTGCGATTCTGCCTTTATTAGGGATATGGTCTAACTGAGACTGGTGGAGGGGCAACAAGAATGTTAGATCTGGATGAATCTAGACGCTATGGATCTGTAGGTCGTCTAGCCGAGAACATTGAAGCCAAGATAGTTGATCCTGCAACTGGAGAGGCCTTACCTCCTGGACAACAAGGGGAGCTATGGTTACGAGGACCTACAATAATGAAAGGTGATCCCAATAGGACCATCATTTATTTGTTTTTGTAGGCAAACTTGTAATATTTTATTCCTTCAAGATAAACTACTGCAAAGCATTCTTATGGTTTTTGCTTGGTGCTAACAATTCCTTGGGGCCATCAGATTGGGAGAAAACCCTTGAATTAATTGTGGTGCACTTGCGGAAAACTCCTTGCAAAGGGTCTATGCACTCCTGGAGATTAGTCGGGCTTTGATCCAGACACACCAGTGCGAATAAAAAAATTAAAAATAAATAAATATTTACTTAATTTTGAGGCTTGAGCAATGGAAATTGCACGTTGTACTCTAGCTTCTTTATAGTTGATTATATTTACTGCATCTGATCCGGTTTCATGACAGAGTAATTGAATCAACTAGAAGAATAAGTCAAAGCTCATTCTTATGCAATATTAACTGCCTTTTAGAGTTTTTCTGAATTGAAGAGGTTTTTAAAAAGAAAGAACCTCAAAGGAAAGAATTAAGATCTTGATCAGAATTTTATGGAATGACTCATTTACTTGTTCACTACTACCGGGTTATATCAGTTTACAATTGTTAATTTTTATTTTTTAAAACTTTGGCCTTAAAATACCGTTATGATGATTCTTGTTTGATAAGGAGAATGATGGGAAATTATAGGTTACGTTGGAGATGATGAAGCAACTGCGGCAACATTGGATTCAGAAGGCTGGTTAAAGACTGGTGATCTCTGTTATTTTGACTCTGAAGGATGCCTCTACATTGTTGATAGATTAAAGGAATTGATAAAATATAAGGCCTATCAGGTGCTAAAATACTCTTTTACACAGTTTTCAACCTCTTAACACGTGGTTGGAACTGCGTTTTACTGGTATTGAGTTGCCATCTGCTAAAATCTTGAATAAATTGCAGGTTCCTCCAGCTGAGTTGGAACATTTGCTTCAATCAAATCCTGAAATTGCTGATGCTGCTGTAATTCCGTATGTATCTCATATTGTGATTTTTATCCATTTTCAGAAAAATCATGTGTGCTTACGCACGTTTGAGTTTGTGCACCTACAGAGCTTTTAACATTGTAGTGATTATGACAGCTAAATGCATGCACGGTTAGCTCAAAAAATTAGCATGTACTGGCTTCTCTTTTTGATTGTCTTGTTGATTCCCTAGAACACAGTTGGTCATCATATTCTGGAATCCGCACGTGTTTTTTGTTTTTTGATTCAACATCCTCTAAAATTAAAGTTCGTACTAAAATTGTTAGTTTCAAGTCTGCAGTTCCTTGCATTCAGATGAAACATGATTCCAAGTATTCATGAGCCAAATTTTGTGAACTCTTTTTTGTTTTTCTTCTGCTTTTTGTCAAACCCACTTAACCAGTAAGTTAGTAATCTGGTTCCTACACTTCGTGTCAACATCTTTACAGGATGGGCAAGCTTTTGAGAGATTTCATCCATCTCTAATATCCTTCTCTTATGAAGTTGAAACTCATCTTTCACCATGTATATTCTACAATATACCTCATGATTGGCTAGCATTTTTGGACTCAGTAATGTGGATTCTTATTCAATCTAGGTTTTCTATTGTATTTATGTCTGCTTTCCTTAATCCATGACTCGCCAACACAAATCCATCTTTCAATCTAGGTTTTTCATTGTTTCCTTTGTTTGGTAACAAATTATTCTCGTACTTGTATGACGTTTTCAAGGTCCCGCTTTAAAAATCAATTGCAGAATATTCAACTTTTAGTCGATAACCTTTTATAGGTTCACCTTGCTTTCAATGTGATGATTAATGGAAGTCATATAAAGGAAGATTTTTCTCAAAACAATTGGGTTGGAAAGTTCTTCCCTCCTTTTGAACACTGAATGTACATGTTTAACGTTTCACCATTAGTTTTTTTGTCTGAATCCTATATAGTTTGTAATCTTTCTTTCTGCTTCAACATACTTAACCTGTGGGTTTGCTTTCTTGATATGCTTACTTCTTAAGCCCTAGGAATATTTTTCATTACCTACAAAAGAAAAAAGAAAAAAGAAAAGTGTGGAATTAATTAATTAGTAAATCCCTATTTAACATTTTTGGTTTGAGGTCAACTTAAGGTGCTAATATAATATTTTATGGTCCGTGATGTAAATTAGCTTGCTTCAACAACCAAACTAGCAAACAATATCAAATAAATTGTTTGTCATCTGAAAGCAGATATCCTGATGAAGAAGCAGGGCAGATTCCCATGGCCTTTGTAGTGAGGAAACCTGGGAGCAATGTCACTGAAGCCCAAATTATGGATTTCATTGCAAGACAGGCAAGTTAACTTCCAAATATTATTTTAACATTTGATTGATTACATTTAGGCTCCTTTTGTTTTGACATAAAATTTTTTTGCCAAATATTTTTTACTCATTTTCTGTTGTTTGGTTGAACAAAAAGCAAGTAAAACATTTTTTAAGGAAAATATTTTTGCATCATTTTTCCAAAAATGACTTACCTTTAAAAATTCCGTAAGTCAATTTTTACAAAGTTGACTCTCATTCACTACCTTTTCAAATAAATATGTTAGCTCGCTAAAAAATCATAAATGACACTTTTATTGAATCAAAATTTCTCTTTTAGGCAATAATTTCAAGTGTCAACCAAACACCCCAAAAAAAAAACAAACAAAAACATTGTTTTTTTGTAAAATATTTTGTGTCGAAACAAACGGAGCCTTAGTATTACATATGTGTCATTTGATGCTAGCACTTCTTGCATTCTGCATAAACAATCTGTGTACATACTAGCTTTCAAGCTTTACAAAAGGAGGAAACAAAACATAACAATTTAGTAGTCATGAAAACCCATATATTAAGAAAATATAGATGCGGGGAATTGGTGATTGTCTTTGACATTTTGGGATACCTTTGTCATTTTCTCGACCCATCGCCCCTGTGGATGCTCTGGGAATGACAAACATACTTGGGAAGGTTCAAATCACCAAGGAATAAGAATTTAAAATGTTCATCCCTACCTAATGAGATTGGTTTTTCTAATTTTATTTTTATTTTTAAGTAAGCGGTTTATAAAGGAAAGAAAATATACAAGGGGCATACCCTAGGTGCATAAATACAATATAATAATAATTAAAAAAAAAGTGAAATCCATAAGATAAGATCTACAAACTAACCTGGTTTGTAACCAAGGAGGATACATCCCTCTAAACAATACCCAAAGCCAAACCCCAAAACAAAAGTCGCCTAGCTGCTACTACCATAGAATGAAAATTAGACTATGGCAAAAGCAGCTGGGGGATCATTCCTTCAAAACCTACCTATGTAAGAACAAAAACCTCTAAACCATAAACCTACTTAACAGACCCAAATATTAAAAAAAAAAAAAAAGCACAGCCATCTTCAACCAAAATGCATGGTATAGAGCAGCCGTAGTGTCAAAAGAAAGCTATGTGTCTTTGATCTGGCATAGTCTTCAAAAATCTTCTAAACCCAAACCATCTTCCTGAGCCTCCTATGCGGTTGAAGCACCTATTCAGCTAGTATGAATGGTTTGAAAGCAGCCATATCAACTTGAGGAACTATGGGATTTCGAACATGGAAGTGCACACAAACCAAAATTTTAGCAATACCAACACAGCCCTATTGAGGACTGCAGCAGCCCACTTTTAAGGGACCCATGGGCATAGCAACACGGATAGAACTCGTAAATATCATCAACACAAGGTTACACTATTGCAACAGCCAACGCAAAGCATCAAAAATATTCTCACATGTTACCTCACCCTATCTTACTCACTCACTATACACTACTTTTTTCTCCTGTCTAACTCTGTACGTCCTCATTTCCCCCCCTTATTCTAACTCTACCAGCCCACTCTTTCTTTCTCATTTTTTTTTTTAAAACTCTCCATATGGTAAAATTCCAAACCAACCCATGTTTACGTTTCACACTACATAACATCTAAACAGCTAACAGAACATCCCACAGAAGGAACAAACAGCCACTGCCCTAGCCTGCTATTTCAGCAGCAGCAACAGCAGAGTAGCAAGCAGCAATCAGATTCCTACAGAGGCAAACAGACCCATATTCACCAGCATCAGTCACTGCTAGGATCAATTTCTGTGTCACTCACTCTTCACCACTTTATATAGAAGTGCAACAAAACTAAAAAAACAGTAAATCCACAAACCATCAGACAAAGCAGAACAGGATACCTCAGCTAACATCAAATAAACAACTAACCAAGTACCCAACTACCTTTTCGCCCCTATATATACTGTTAAGTGTTAATTATTTTTTGTATTGTTGTATGACAGTGCTTGTTACCATCTAAATGTCCGCCCCTACTTTTGTTTTAGTAGTTTTTATGGTAGCACTGGTTCGTTTCAACTTGCAGGTTGCTCCTTACAAGAAGATTCGGCGTGTTGGATTTGTCAATGCTATTCCAAAATCTCCGGCAGGGAAGATCTTAAGAAGAGAACTGATCAATCATGCTCTCTCTGCTGCTTCATCTAAATTGTGATAAAAGTTATTATTAATTCTGTGTATACTTGAAACAACTTGGTCAAGTCGATTCCATTCAGTTAAACAAGTCAGTTGTCTTATCTTTTTTCATTTTATTTAATTTACTTATTATTAATCATTTTGGCATCTATTTACCCAAAGGTGGAAATCATTTGTTGGGCAAGTTTGGATTTGGATCACTTCTGCACTAGTTGGCGTGACATGAAAATTCACGATTTGACGTTCTTTTTGGATCTCAGTGACAAGTAGCAAAAGAATAGGTGCTCAAAATGCACATTTTCAAACAATTTTTATTTCTTTTCCTGATTCTTTCCTAGCTCCAAACAGAGCACTAAACTCTAGTACATCTGTAAGAATTTCCTCACTGGGATGCTTAAAACTGTACTATTCCTGTCCTGTCATATGGATTTGTCAATTTTATTTATTTATTTTCAAAAATTTGAGGGTTGCATTTGTATATATGAATTTGAAACAAATGGATTTTTCTCCCCCTAAATGAAAGTTAAACAAAAGACGCTGGGGGCTAATCCATCACTCTGCTCGCTCTGGTCATATCTGCAATGACCAAGGCTCTAACAGGTTCTGGGGGTTCTTCTAGGATCTCTACATGCTCCTCCTGTTTCACTCCCTGGTTTGCCATTGCATCAGCACATATGTTTCCTTCTCTCTTGGTATGACTGACGTCGCATTTGCATCTTCGCAACAAAAAATTTGCTTCTTCCATCAGAGCCTTATAAGCTGAATTGCGGTTTGCTCTGTCCCAGACTAGTCCTACAGCCATCTCTGAGTCTGATACTATCTTCACCTCTTTTAAGCCCTTCTGGCATATGACGGTGAGTCTTCTATATGTGCCTCAAATTTCAGCTTCCAAGCTAGTACAATATCCCAGCTTCCCATAGTATCCCCACACCCAAGGTACCTTTTGATCTCTCTGCAGTCCATCATATCCTGCTTGTCCTGGATTTTCTTTCAAACATCCGTCCGTGTTTAATTTGAAGCTTAACTGCAATAGGAAAACGCCAACTAATCAGGATTGGGCCTTTATGGTTTGGAAAAGGAGAGAATTGGAAGGCCTCATGGATCTCATTAGTGTAGTCTAAAGTTTTATAAAGCTTAACTGGGCAGGATGTTGCACATTTTCAAAAACCATTTTATTTCCATCCTTCCAAATTAGCCAAATTGTAATTATGAAAACTAGATTCCACCTTTTGTTATTAAAACTTATTTTATTTTTCGTTTTTAGAGAGATCCATTCCAATCTCCTTAATTTGACTAACCAAATAGCCTTTGATAGAGTCGAGTGGAGAAGAAAGATTCATGTAGCAGAGCTATTTGATGAGACTTAAGACTTGGTTTGGTTTGGTTTGGTTTGGTTAGAGAGATCCATTCCAAAAGAGGCTTTTCAAAACCCTCATCCCACCATTGAATGTTTGTTAACAAAATCCAAACCTCTTTAGCTTTAACACATCATCTGATGAGATGATTCATATCCTCAGTGAATGTGCCACATCTGGGGCACAAGTCCGAGTTCGCAATGTCCCTAACAAATTTCATCTGGTTAGTTAGGAGTCTTCCTTGCAAGATTAGCCACAAAAATTCTTAAGCTTTTGCGGAATTTAGCTTTCCACGCCCAAGACCAGTCCCCACCATTGTTATCATGTTCAACAATCAACTCATAAGCGGACAAAGTGTTGAAGTTCCCACTGTCGGTGCCAATCCAGTGAGGTGTATCATTGTAGGTAACATACCTCGGTCTGTGAATTATAAGAATTTCACTTTTATCATGTTGGTTAAGGATATTGTCCACGCATTCAGTATTCCAATTTCCCTCATCATCTAGGATTTCACTGACAGTGTCCAGCCCATTAACTGATTGATTATTATAAGAATTAGCCGAAGGTTGTTTACCACTTCATCACTCATTCCACAGAGAAATATTTGATTCATCTCCCACATTCTATTTAACACCCTTGCGAAGGATATTATGGTTCTTAATGATGCTCTTCCAAATGTGAGAGGCTCTTCCATTATTAGGCCAATTATAAATGGTGTTATTGCTAAGGTATTTAGTTTTCAACACTCTACACCACAAGTTCTCACCCTCACTAAGAATTTTCCAACCTAACTCAGACATTAACGCAGAGCTCTGATCTCTATCTTTCCTTATTCTAATCCACCTTCCTTCTTGCTCTTACAAACTCTATCCCACTTAACCAAATGGACTTTCTTGGTATTTTTAGAGTTTCCCCAGAGAACTTCCTGTTGATCTTGTCAATCTCATCACAAATATTCCTAGGGAGTTGCATGGTTTGCATGAGGTAATTAGGTATGCATACATAACAGTTTGAAAAAGCATGGTTCTACCAGGAAGTGACAAGATTTTGACTTTCCAACCAGAGAGTCTAGTCTTCATTTTCTCTAACACTTCCTTGAAATGATTTTTTGTGCACTCTCATGTAGAGTAGAGGGGTCCCTAGATATTTCCCATGATCATTAGTCAAGGGGATACCACATTGTAGACTAGGAGACATGGCTTCTCTTCTAGGGAGATTAGGGAAACAAACATCTTGGATTTCTGAAGATTGATTTTTTGACAAGATATCACAAAATTCAGACAACACATTCATGATGAAGGGGTCAGTACTAATTAATTCAGACAACACACAAAATTTAGACAACACAAACATCTTGGATTTGGTTATTGATTAAGGGGTCTGTACTAATTAATTAGATGCCAAATAGAACCTCAGCTTTAAACTACTAGTTGGATTCTTCATCAGCAAGTTTTAGTGGTGATTTGGGATGTTCTAAATAAGCGTACTTTTTATTTTTTATGAAATATGGATTGAGTTTGGGTTGGGTTTGAAGTGATGTGATAGAGAGGTGATGTGATTTAAATAAGATGATGTGACTTAAATAGAATAGTAACTTTTTAATTTTTTTAGTACATGACAAACCAGGCCTTAGGCCTCGTTTGGGTACAGACTAATTTAGTAATATTTTGACTATTTGACTAAAATATGAGCTAAAAAAATTAGTATGTTTGGGATGACTTTTTAACTTTTACGAAAAGATGTGCAAAAAGTAGAGAAAAAAAAGAATCTTTGACTTTTTAATTTGAATTATTGATTTTTTAATTTTTTTAATGACTTTTTAATTTTTTAACTAAAAAAAAGTCATTTACCAAACGCCTTAATCAAAATGTCTGAAGAGGAGTGGGTCCAAAAGCTTTTACTATCTTACAGACTTGATAACCAAATAAAATGCTATTAGACCATCTCCAACGCTTCAGCAAACGTGATATCAAATTCAAAATTTGATGAAAAAGTCACTTTTTTGAGCTCCAACCGTTTCACCAAATCGATATCAAATCCACAATTCAGCAAATCTTGTACCAAAATGAAAACAGGCGAAGCATTTTACCAAATTACTGTTCCTAACCGTTGGGAGAGACCAACCGGTCAACCAGCCGGTTGCCCGGCCGGTTGACCAACCGGTTGACCGCCTAAAGGTTCAAACGGTTCGAAAAAAAGGTTCAAACAGTAAAAAAAAAAAAAAAAAATTTTTTTTTGCCTAACCGGTCGACCAGCCGGTTGACCAGCCGGTCGACCACTAAAAGGTTCAAAAAGTTCAAAAAAAAAAGTAGATTTCCACAACATTTAGAAATCTCGGCAGAAAACTCTGTGTGAGGTGCGATTTTCAATTTTTTTTTTTTTTTTTTTTTTTTTTTTTAAAAGAAAAAAATAAAAAATAAATCAACGATTTACAGAACTTTAAAATGCTAGGCCCTTCATATTTTTTTGTTTTTGCCTTCATCGCTCTATTTCTCTTCCCGATGTTCCCGTCGTCTCTCCAAGTTGCGTGAATTGTCATTGAAGATCAAAGCATTGACGATTGAAGAAGGGTTATTTAATATTGAAGGATCAATGACTACCATCAACAAGTTCGATACAACTTCCAATCTGTAAGTTTCTCTTTCGTCTTTCTGATTGTGATGATGAACTGAGGGTTTTTCCATTTGGCGGTCTTATTCTTGGTTGATAACTTTTCTGTGTTGATTTGTTGTGTTTGCATAACTTTGGGAGATTAATTTGTATGGCCTGATTAGGTTATTTGATTAGGGCTGAATTTTTTTTGATGATCAATCTACCCTGTTCTATTGTTTTAAAAACATATAATGCTTTTTTATGCTGCTATATATATATATATATATATGGTTGATAATATATTATCAGCAATGTTAGGTATCATGAAAAGTCTTTCATGAAAATAGTCATGAAAAATTTGTGACCTTTAGATTACACTTACAATAAAGCACCCCACACTAATCAAGGTAATCTAAGGGTCACAAAATTTTCATGATCATTTTCATGACAAAATTTTCATGATCTCTAACATTTCTCATATATTATTGATACATTAAACCCCAAGGGGTTGACGTGGTGGTCAAGACTTTTGCCCTGACTTTAATTAGGATTCCTACAAGTGAATAGTGGGATTGGCCACTTAGATCAGTTGGTTTAATGAGGCAGATATCCAGTTATCAAAAAACATATATTATTGATGCATTACATTTAGGTCAAGTTTGGGAACTTTCAAAAAAGTCAAAAAGTTAAAAAGTTACTCAAAAAGTTAAAAAGTTAACACTATTCACCAAAAGTCAACAATTACGGCTGCACAACTCCCAATTCAAATTTTTTCCTACAAATCAATTTTTACAATTTTTTATTACACATTTTTCAATAAAAAGTCAAAAAGTTAACCCAAACATCCATATTTTCAACCTCAATTTTTTAGTCCAAAAAGACGAAAAGTACACTTTTTTAGTCTTTCCAAACTTGGCCTTAATGCCTTTTATAATCAACTTTAATGAATGTGCTAAGATTAGAGATGACCACAGAATGGCTTTCTCATCCCCCGTCCTTGCTTTCAAACCCTGCACCCGTCCCACCCCAACCCCAAACCCAACTCCAACTCCAACTCCAACTCCAACTCCAACTCCAACTCCAACTCCAACCTCGTTATAGGTGAAATTTTTCAACTCTATCCCCACCCCTGTGGATCCCTACCCTTGCGGATACTCAATACCCATGGATATCCGACTACATTTTAAATAGTCAAAAAAATTGAAAACCATTTAAATCTTTAATACACTAAATAATTTCTCTTGTTTCCATATATATAAATTAGGGGTGGGCACGGGTCGGTTGCGGCCATGGAACCTCCAATCCGTCATTCGTCTGCTAGATTGGTGGATTATAGAAAATCAATCGCATCCGTCCGCCAATCGTCAATCCAGCGGATATGGATTGAGTGGATTGGCAGATGGATGCAAATCGGTTTGGCGGTTTAAAATTTTATAAATTTTTAATATAATTCAACTTGTGCACTTCTTCAAAAAAAAAAAAGAAGACCCTTGCGGATACTCAATACCCGTGGATATCCGACTACATTTCAAATAGCCAAAAAAATTGAAAACCATTTAAATCCTTAATACACTAAATAATTTCTCTTGTTTCCATATATATAAATTAGGGGTGGGCACTGGTCGGTTGCGGCCATGGAACCTCCAATCCGTCATTCGTCTGCTAGATTGGTGGATTATAGAAAATCAATCGCATCCGTCCGCCAATCGTCAATCCAGCGGATATGGATTGAGTGGATTGGCAGATGGATGCAAATCGGTTTGGCGGTTTAAAATTTTATAAATTTTTAATATAATTCAACTTGTGCACTTCTTCAAAAAAATAAAATTACAGTCAATGACTTAAAAAGTATTACAATCACTGCATGCCTCATCTAAAGAAAGAAAGTTTGAAACTTTAGAATATTACAATCACAGTATGCCTCATCCACATTTACAATCACAGGATACCTCAGCCACATAAAGTATTACAATATGTGGCTCTTAAAATATAAAAACAATTCAAACCATCAAAACTATGAACAGAGCAGTAGTGGAGATTGTATATCTCTATATCGTTACATCTATATCTATTTTTGAAAACAAAAACTAACCAGCATATATCATCTTTTTTATTTATTATTTTTAAAGTTAGATTTAAAAACTAAAAAATATATTCAAGTTGAAAACTCTTTTTCAACAAAAAGAATATTTAAATTAATTTTCAATTGAAAACACAAATAGAATATCTAAACAAATTGAAAAAACAAAGTCTTATAAATTACTAGGGGTGCTAGCAGTTTGGCGGTTCGATTGCAGTCAAAGGAACCTCAACTCCGCCATCCGTCCAAAACTAGGCGGATTGAAAAAAATCAATCTGCAACCGTCCGCTCGTCATCACGCATCCATCCAAAATGAGGCGGATCGGTTCAGTTCGGTTCGGTCGGTTTGGGCGGATCGGTATATACGCTACTCACCCCTAATATAAATAGTAAGACTTTTAAGATTATTATTTATTTATATTTAAACAGAATCACAGACTTTTAGCATTCATTTCTTATATCTAATTATATTATATATATACATATATATTATTAATTATATTGAGTCGGGTTTGGATCAGGGGAGGCGATACCTGCCTCCACCCCACCCCCACCTCGGTTGTGGGTGACCAAAATATAATCCGCCCCTGCCCCACATAAGTATCGGGTTGGGTAAAATCCGCCTCATTCGGACGGGTATGGACAGACCCTCGCGGATCGGACCAAAATGGCCATGAGTGGAATTTAGGAATCTTTTTTTTTAATATTTTTTTTTGGTTTTGTTTGTTGATGCATTATTGATTTTTTTTGGAGTAAATACGTTTATTTATTTTGTTTTTGTTTTTATGATGAACCAGTCTAATGGTTTAATTCATTATTTTATAGGGTTTTTTACTTAATGGTCACTGTTATATGTAGGTAACAATTCTGACTGGAGCTAGATTAAAAAGTGATGGAGAATTATTTTAAAAGAAAATCAAATCTAGAAATGTCTCATCCTTGAAAAGATGATAATTCTTCTTACTAAAAAAAAAAAGGCGCACAGAAATCAACTTGGCGGATCTTCCTGCAGATCCAGGGCTTCGGACTTAGATTATGGAATTTAATCCTAATGGCCGAGATGAAATTTAGATGAAATTCATAGAGCATATGTACAAAGAGGTTCTTGTTAGCCTTCTAACATAATTTTCCACAAAGAAGATTTGGAAAAACACTATGAAGGTTTAATCACGCTTGATTTAGTGAATTTCCTAATTGGTTGAGTATAGCATAGAAAAAAGATGTTGCGTTTTGTCTAAATTATTGTCTTTTCAAACTTGATATTGGAGATCAAGCGAGTGGTGAATCTTTTGTCGGTGAGGGTTTCTCAAATTGGAAGAAGAAAAAATTTTTTCAAATTCATCGGGAGGCCCCAATAGCACTCATAACCAAGCTTGGAGTAAGTGCCAAGACTTGCCGAACCAAAATGAGCATATTCAAACTGTTTTTGTTAAGTAATCAAACCAAGCTCGACTTGAATATTGAACTCGCGTGAATGCACCGATTGATTGCGTTAGGTTTCTTTGAAGACAAGGATTTGCTTTTTGTGGTCATGATGAATATGAAAATTCAAGTAACCAAGAAAATTTTCTTGAACTTTTTGAAATTTCTTCCTGACCACAATTGAGAGATCAAAGCCATTGTATTGAACAATGCTCCACAAAATCTTAAGTTGGTAGCTCTTGATATTGAAAAGGATATTGTAATTGCAACCACCTTTGAAACTATCAAGGTGATTATTAGAAACCTTGGTGACACTTTTTTCTGTTTTGGTTGACGAATCACGTGACATATCAACTAAGGAGCAAATGACAGTTGCAATACGATATGTGAATAAAAAAAGGACATGTCATTGAGTGATTTTTGGGCATTGAACGTATTGCCAATACTAGTGCCTTGTCACTTGAGAAAGCTATGGAAGACATGGATTGAGAATTTTCTAGATTGCATGGTCAAGGTTATGATGGGGTTAGTAATATGAAGATGAGTTAAATTGTCTTAAAACACTTGTGATGAAAGAGAACCCATGTGCATATTATGTTTTGTGCTTTGCTCATCAATTGCAATTAGCTTTTATTATTGTGGCAAAGAATCATGATTAGATTGTCTTGCTTTTTCATTTGGTTAGTATAGTGGTGAATGTTGTTGGAGCAATCATGCGAAAGGTGAGATATTCTTAGGGAAAAACTAACTACAAAAGTTGTTGTGGCACTTAATAATGGAAAACTTTCTAGTGGTTAAGGATTAAATCTAGCAACCAGTCTCAAACTTCCCAGTGAGACACATTGGGGCTCACACTATAGTAATTTGGTTAGTTTGATTTATATGTTCTTGCTGGTGAATGATGTGCTTGAAATGATTTCGGAGGATGGTTCAAATTCAAAACAATGAGTGGAAGCAAATGTGTTGTTGCACTCAATGCAATCTTTTGAATTTGTATTCAATCTTCACTTGACGAGAACGATATTAGGAAACAAGTGAGTTGTCACAGGCATTACAAAGATAGATCAAGATATTGTGAATGCCATGAATTTAGTTGAAGTGTCGAAAAGGTGACTTCAAATGACGAGAGAGATTGAGTGGAGCTCTTTACTTGATGATGTTTCATCTTTTTGTGAAAGACATGAGATTGATGTTCCGAATATGGACAATGACTTTATAGCTCAAGGGAGAAAAAGACATAAAGCACAATAAGTGACAAACTTACATTACTACCATGTTGAGTTATTCTACAATGTCATAGATATGAAACTTCAAGAACTACTCATTTCACCGAGTCAAACACTGAGTTGCTTAAGAAAAAATTAACCTATATTGCCGAATTGTATCCACAAGAATTTTCTTGTGTAGAGCTCCCAGTACTTCATGATCAGCTTGATACTTTTATAGTGGACATGCGCTTTAGTAGTGACTTTTCAAGATTGAATGTAACTAGTGATCTTGCTAAAAAAATGGAGACTGGAAGACACAAAGTGTGTCCATTAGTTTACTTTATTTCAACTTTGGCATTAATCTTATTGGTTGCAACTACTATCGCTGAGAGGGCATTTTCAGCTATGAATATTGTGAAAAATTGAATGCGCAACTGAATGAGCAACCGATGGATGAACAATAACTTGGTTGTTTACATAGAGACATTTTTTATTGCATTGATAATGATATTATCATGCAAAACTTTCAAAAGATGAAGACCTATGTGTAACAACTCTGACCTCTGATTAACATGCAATCCATGATTAAGAATGTTTAATAAATAATTAAAGTGAAATTTTGCATTCATTACGTGTGTTATGTGTCATATGAGTTTCTATCTATTTTGTGTAGGAATAATTGTCTCTAATTTTGTTCTATTTTGTAAAATTGAAGGCCCTATCGGCATACGATTATGAAATTGATTTGGTTTTTGTGTTAATTGAAATTTTTAGAATTTTTGGGTAGGTTCAATTAAAATTCGAGTTTGGAGCTTGGGAGTGCAATCTGGAAATTTCAGATTCTGCACTTCCGCTCGAGCGGCATAGTTTGCGCTTGAGCGACCCCTCTGTGATCTTGCACTTCCGCTCGAGCGAACAAGAGTTCACTCGAGCGAGAAATGCAAGCTCCCAGAAGTTCTCACATTTTACAAACTGCTCGAGCGATAGAGGTTGCGCTCGAGCGGGGACCTTATTCTCACGCTCGAGCGATCGTTGAGCCGCTATCAAACGGAGATTTCACACAACCAATACTTTTTTCAAAGTTTGCAGACCGCTCGAGCGAGGGAATCTGTGCTCGAGCAGCCCCTCACATGTTTGCATGTTCGCTCGAGCGAGGGAAGTTGCGCTCGAGCGTGACCCTTGTTTTTAGCAAGTTTTGTTGAAAGTCCCAAAGTGCATTTTGGCATTCACAATGCATCATAAGCATTTCTAGGCCATGTTTAAGACTCAATAAGAGTCTAAGGCTTAGAAACACACTAAGAATGAAACGAAAGAAGTTAAGTATGAACCGAGTATGTGTTCCATTATTTGTTTCTACTATGTGTGTGTAGGTCATGCACCACAAGTTATTTGATTTGTCTGTTCTACAAGGGGAGCCCTCTGTGAATAATAACTCTGTAAAGTTATGTTTAACTTTAGCTATTTTCTGATGCTATGAAATGATCAGTTTTCTGAAATGCGATGTCTTGTATGAATGAATGATTGTCTAAATTTCTGAAATATACTTGTGGCATCCTTAGGGGTTGTTTGAGATGTTCTAAATAAGTGTACTTTTTGACTTTTTATGAAATATGGGTTGGTTTGAAGTAATGTGGTAGAGAGGTGATGTGACCTAAATAAGAAGATGTGACTTAAATAAGATAGTGACTTTTTGACTTTTTGGCTTTTATTAAAGATGCCAAACTTGGCCTTAGTACCGTGCCTTTTTAAGCAAGGCCCTTGCCCTAGGGTAATAATAACGTGGTCTCATGGCCCTTGCTTGGGGGTAACAATACCGTGGCTCAAGTATGTTATAAGTTCCCGGTACCGGAGGCTCCTCATGGAACTAACAAGCATGATAACGCTAATGGATGTACCATGTATGATTAAGCATGAACTCTGATTTCTATATGAAGTTTGAACAAGAATATATATATATATATATATGTTTTGATATGAATTCTGATTTCCGAATCTGTTATGGATATTGTTCATTTAAACCCTTTACTCTTTTATTATCCATTGGGCTTTCACTCACTCTATTATATTATATATGCATGTGAGCAGGTGCGTGACCAGGTCTAAGCTGCTGCCTGGAAATTTTTGGTTAGCCAACCATTGTGCCTCCCGGGGAGGTTCCTTTTTGAGATGTCTAGTTTTATAACCTTGCTACAGATGTTTTTGCTTTGTTTTGCTTATCTGCACATTGGGCTATGTTCCTTTTTGGTATTATCTGTGTATTTGGGTGACGTAAAACTCATGTATTTATGACGTCGCATGTATGTATAAGTTTGTTTTGATGATTTCTGTCTCATATACGTTAACACAACTCTATGGACATTGCGTATTTTCTATATTTGCTTCCGTAGTCCCTTATTATACCGATTACGATGCTAAACCTATAAGGGCGGGTTTGGGCCGTAATAGAGTGGTATCAAAGCACGTTTCTTACTGCATACACGTGTCCATATGAGCTATAGGTTGTCCTAGAAAAGTAGGGACATTCATGTGCATGTGTGAGTGTGTGAGTTGATTACTGTGACAACTGGATCTGAACATGAATTTAACTTGACCTCACATAAATGAAACAAATGAATTGAAACTGAATATTCTGAACATTATGGAAGGGTTTACTCGCCTATGTTTATTATTGTTGTGTTTACCTATTGCTAATGGAGAATGCAAGAAGTAATGATACAAGTGAATCCTTAGAGGCTTGCATGAGCCGAATGAAACAAACGATTATTGCTCTAACTAAAGCAATAGCACAGCAACAAAGACAACAACCAATGCCTCCTCCGCCTCCTCCGGTCCAAGTTGAATTGGATAATAATGACATCACCAGCCTAACGTAGAAATTCATGAAGATGAAACCGCCAACTTTCTTGGGTGGTATTGAACTGTTGAAAGCGAAGAGACATGGTTACTAGAAATGGAAAAGTTATTTGAAATATTTCCTTGTACTGAGACTCAGAAGGTTTTATTGGCCACCTACACTCTTAAAGATGAAGTTTGGAGATGGTGGTTATTGATCCGAAATAGTAATGGGAATATGACAGGGGCTCAATTCAATGAGATCTTCTACAACAAGTACTTCCCCCAATGCTTTAGAGACTGAAAAGTTTCTGAATTCCAAGAACTTAAGCAAGGGAAGATGTCCGTAGCTGAGTACGAGGCTAAGTTCACCGAGTTGGCCAGATTTGCTCCTCATATGGTGGACACATATTATAAGAAAGCACAAAAGTTTGAGGGAGGACTAGTCTGGAAGTATTTGATCGAGTAGGCGTCTTGAAATTGCCTACTTATATAGAAGTGCTTGATAGGGCATTGATAACAGAGGCCATACTAGCAGCTAAGAAACAAGGTACAACTCTAACAACTGAATGAAGAAGTAAAAGGGCCGGATTCAATTTCAAGAAAGGCCGACCATTTTCGAAGAAGCAAAATACTGGATCGTCAAGTAGCTTAAGCCAAAGTAGTGGGTCTATCCCGGTTTGTCCAGAATGTGGAAGGAAACATAGGGGCATGTGTCACTGTGCATCTGGTGCTTGTTTTCGATGTGGCAAGACAGGCCACAAGATTAGAGATTACCCGATAAGACTCGATACGACTACCCGTCCTGCGGCAAGTTTAGCCGGATCTGCTCCTGCACCAAGAACCAATGCGAAGTCTAATATTGGAGGAGAAACTTTGAGACAAGGCCGGGTTTTTACATTAATACTTGGGGATGTATAGAATACTGAGTCAGTGGTGTCAGGAATAATCTCTATCTGTGCTCAGAATGCCTATGTGCTGATTGATTCTGGTTCCACGCATTCATTTGTATTGCATACTTTTTTCTTGAAAATTGACTAGACCATTAGAACCTATGAACTATTTATTATCTGTGTCTACACCTGGGGGTTCTATGATATATGCTTCTGTCTATTCGACATGTGATATTATGATTGGTAATATGACATTGTATACTGATTTGTTGCCCTTGAGCATTGATCATTTGATTGTATTCTGGGTATTGATTGGTTGACTAAATACTGCGCCACTATTGATTGTGCGAATAAATCTATTATGTTTAGACCACTTTGTATGCCTGAGTTTGTTTTTACTGGAAATGGGGTAGTTTCTCCTCCATACTTGATTTCATTTATGAAAGCCAGGAAATTGTTAAGAAAATGTTGTCGGGGCTACTTGTGTTGTGTGTTGACTGAGTCTTCGGATAAACGATACCTAAAGTCCGTGAATTTCCTAATGTGTTTCCTACTGACCTAGCTGGGGAATTAATTGACAGAGAAAGTGAGTTCACCATTGATGTAGTACCTCGGACACAACCAATTTCTAAAACCCCATACAGAATGTCCACTTTTGAACTGAAGGAATTAAAAACTCAACTCCAAAAACTATTAGACAAGATGTTTATCCGCTCGAGCAATTCACCTTGGGGTGCTCCAGTGTTATTTGTCAAAAAGAAAGACAGGTCTTTGAGGTTATGTATTGACTACTGTGAGTTGAACAAAGTAACTATCAAGAACAAGTACCCATTACCCCGAATAGGTGACTTGTTTGATCTACTTCAAGGAGCACAAGTGTTCTCTAAGATAGACCTTAGATTCGGGTATCACGAACTAAAGGTGAATGCAAAAGACATTGAGAAAACCGCTTTCCGAACTAGATATGGACATTATGAATTCTTAGTCATGCCAATTGGGATAACTAATGCACTTGCAGCATTCGTGGACTTAATGAATAGAGTGTTCAAACAATTCCTTGATAAGTTTATTATTGTGTTCATCGATGATATATTGATTTATTCTAAAAGCATGGAAGAACATGAAAATCATCTGAGAATTGCTTTACAGATTCTGAGAGAAAAGAAGTTATATGCAAAATTTTCCAAATGCGAATTTTGGCTTGACAATGTGGCATTTTTGGGGCATGTAATTAATAAGGATGGTATCTCCGTTGACCCATAAAAAATTGAATCTATTGTGAACTAGCTTAGACCGACGAATGTAACAGAAGTTTGAAATTTTCTAGGACTTGCAGGCTATTATCGCAGATTTGTAAAAGATTTTTCCAAACTTGCTTTGCCACTCACTCAATTGACACAGAAAGCTACACCATTCGATTGGGCTGATCAAAGAGAGACTGTTTTCAAAGAGCTAAAAACAAGGTTAGTAACTGCATCAATTTTGACCTTGCCTAATGGTACTGATGGGTTTCAAATTTATAGTGATACTTCCCACAAAGGTTTGGGGTGTGTTGATGCAAAATGGAAAAGTGATTGCTTATGCTTCTTGACAACTCCGCCCTCATGAAAAGAATTATCCAACCCATGACCTTGAATTAGCTGCTGTGATATTTGCTTTAAAAATTTGGCGCCATTATCTGTATGTAATAACTTGTGAAGTATACACAGATCACAAAAACTTAAAATATTGCTTCATCCAAAAAGAACTAAACATGAGACAGAGGAGATGTTTAGAATTAATCAAGGACTATGATTTGCAAATTTTGTATCATCCAGGGAAGGCAAATACCATTGCAGATGCATTGAGCCGAAAATCTATTGGGAATTTGTCATGTTTGCTCATTGGTCAGAGAGAGTTATTGTGTGACTTGGAGAAAAATGAAAGTGAAATTGTGTTACGTGAACAAGGCGAGATCTTGGCTGCCATTTTTGCCCAACCTGCAATCATTGAAGAAATTAAAGAGAAACAACGTGAAGATGAGTTTCTGAGGAAAATTGTCAATGAGATTGACTCAAAACCGAGATCGGGATTTATGCTTGACAATGAAGTGTTGAAATTTCAAAATCGTCTTTGTGTGCCAGATTGTTTTAACTTGAGGAAACACATCATGATTGAAGCTCACAATTCAAAATTTGTATGCATCCGGGAAACACAAAGATGTATCATGACTTGAAACAAAATTTCTGGTGGCTGGGAATGAAAAAGTGTGTTGTAGATTTTGTAGCTAGATGTTTGCACTGCCAACAAGTTAAAGCTGAAATCATCGACCCACCGGATTGCTATAGTTGCTTCCAATATCGAAATAGAAATGGAAACATGTCACAATGGACTTCATTGTGGGATTACCTTGCTCTCCTCGAGGTATGGACTCTATCTGGGTAATTGTTGATCGTTTGACTAAATTTGCACATTTCTTATCTGTCAAATCTTTGTATAATGCAGATAAGTGGGCTAACTTGTATGTTAATAAGATTGTGAGATTACATGGCGTGCTAGTATCTATTGTATCCGATAGAGATCCTAAGTTCACTTCAAGATTTTGGCAGAGTCTACAGTAAGCTCTGGGGACTAAATTAAGACCAAGCAGTGCTTATCACCCATAGACAGATGGCCAATCTGAACGGACCATTCAGACGTTGGAAGACTTGTTACGGATGTGTGCCCTAGACTTTCAAGGCAGTTGGGAAACTTATTTACCACTAGCCAAATTTGTGTATAACAATAGCTACCATTCGAGTATCGGCATGGCTCCTTATGAAGCTTTGTATGGTAGAAAGTTTCGATCTCCAATTTGCTGGGCTAAGATAGGTGATGGGCCATTGTTAGGGCCGGAACTTGTGCAAGAAATAACCGAAAAAGTGAAATTGATTCATCAACGTCTGAAAACTGCACAGAACCGTCAAAAAAGTTATACCGACGTCTGAAGGCGTGATAGAGAATATGAAGTCAGAGATCATGTGTTTATCAAAGTGACTCCAATAAAAGGTCAGACACGGTTTGGAGTGAAGGGTAAGTTAGCACCAAGATATGTTGGGCTTTATGAAATCCTTAAGAAAATTAACCCAGTGACGTATCGGGTAGCCTTGCTTCCAGCCATAGAAAATATGCATAATGTCTTTCATGTTTCAATGCTTCGGGGGCTATTTGAGGGATCCATTCCATGTTATTAAGCCGACACATGTACTTTTGAAGGATGATTATACATATGAAGAACGGCCAATTCAAATCATTAACCGAAGAATCAAGAGATTGAGGAACAAGGACATTCCAATTGGTGAAGGTTGATTGGCAGAATCATGGAGGAACTTATGCTACATGGGAAATGGAAGAAGATATGATGAAGAGATATTCAGATTTGTTTCTGTTGAACCCAACGTTCTTCCAAAATGAAGGTACTTTGAGTTTGGAGACCATACTCTTTAAAGGGGGAAGACTGTAACAACCCTAATCTCTAATTAACATGCAATCCATGATTAAGAATGTTTAATAAGTAATTAAAGTGAAATTTTGCATTCATTACGTGTGTTATGTGTTATATGACTTTCTATCTGTTCTGTGTAGGAATATCTGTCTCTAATTTTGTTCTATTCTGTAAAATTGAAGGCCC